GCCCCAGCTTTGGCCTGCGACCTGTGCCCAAGGGTCCGGGGCCAGTGACAAACCTAAGGGTTTGGGTGGACGTGGGACCGATCTCCTGTTGGAATGTAAATATGTGACAAAATAATAAATGGCAGCAGCAGCAAAGCCTGTGGTTTCTCATAGTGGCTCTCCCGAGGGGGAAGGGGTCGCTCTAGGATTGGGCCACTCGCCATGGGGACTTAAGTTGGGGGCTGTAACGATCGTTCACTGAAAGGGAAGGTGTAACTCAATGGTTCTCAGCCAGCCGGTGGTGATTTTGGCCTCCCCCCACCCGGAAGACATTTGGCAATGTCCGGAGATATTTTTGGTTGTCACAACTCGGGTGGATGGTACTGTCCAGAGATGCTGTAAACTCTCTGCAATGCATAGGATGGTCCCCACGACAAGGAGGCATCCAGCTCCAGTGCCAGTGGCGCTGAGGTACAGACAACCTGGTGTGACTGTGCATCGTATCCCAGAGTGGGTTAGAGCATACAATCATCATCCATCCATCATCCATCAGCCATCCATCCATCCATCCATCAGCCATCCATCCATCTATCGTCCACCCACTATCAGCCACGTATCCCAGAGTGGGTTAGAGCATACAATCATCATCCATCCATCAGCCATCAGCCATCCATCCATCCATCAGCCATCCATCCATCTATCGTCCACCCATCCATCTATCAGCCACCCGTCCATCCATCATCCATCCATCCATCATCCATCTACCTGTCTGTCTGTCCATCCACCCATCCATCTATCAGCCACCCGTCCATCCATCACCCATCCATCCATCCACCCGTCCATCCATCCATCCACCCATCCACCATCCACCCATCCATCATCCATCCATTCATCATCCAACCATCCACCCACCCACCCATCCATCATCCATCCATCACCCATCCATCCACCCATCCATCTATCCGTCCATCCATCATTCAACCATCCACCCACCCACCCATCCATGCATCTGCATATCTATATATTCATATACTCACCACCCTCCCCCACTCTTCTCACTCGTCCACCCTACACTTGTCCGTCGAGTGCCCTGGGCATGGCAGTTGGTGGTAAGTGCTGGACATCCGTCTGCGGGCAACACGTCTCCGCCCACATGGAGTCGATGTGAGACGAGGAGGGACATAACACACCAGTGTCTACACCTGAGGATGGCAGTGGGTGCTATGAGCAGCACGGTCAGGGTAGGGGGACAGGGTGATGGGTCGGGAGCGGGCTGCAGGGAGAATGGGGCGCCCTCTCTGTTGAGATGCTACTTGAGCAGAACACTGGGGAAGAGGGAGTTATCAGAGATCCGAGGTAGAGCTTGCTTGGTGTGTTTGCGGGTCACAGGCACCGAAAGTGCTCCAGGAGGCAGCTCCAGGTGGGACCCTCCAGGAGGCGGAGGAGATCTGCCTGGCGAACTCCTGCCCCACTCTCTGACTTGACCCGCTCACCCGTGCCCACCATCTTCCGGGGCGTTTATGGACCCGGATAAATCTCCAACTTCGTGTGAGTGTCAAGATCCTTTGCCATATGGCTTCTCCCCATCTGCCATCACTTGACACCCGAGCTGGTTGAGGCCCCTTCACAGTGCCCCCGGCAGGCCTTCTCCCTGGACCGTGAGCGTTGGCTGTGCTCCCCGCGAGGGGAGGGAGGTGGCCGGTCACTGCTGTGCCCTCTGCACCGGGACTGGGCTTGGGCCCCAGCACCCTCTCTGCATGGCGCCTATGTTTTGGAGATATGTAGGACACACTGACTATAAGTCCCCAATGCAACAGTGATCTTGGGCCCATCGCCAGCCTCTGAGTGTCCCGTTATCTTGCTTTGACCGGTTAAGGACACTTTGGTGTGAAAACCATGACCCTTGGCAGGGCGCCTTGGCCACCTCCCCACCTGGACCACAGCCTTCTCACCTCATCTGCGGCCTCCCCACCTGCACCACGCTCCCCCAGGCCTCCCTCAGTGCCACTGCCTGCTGCCACCTGGAGCTGAGGTGACTCCTGGGGGCTCCTGGGGCTCAGGCCCTTCCTCTCCATGCCCCCACCCGGCCTAGGATCTCTGCCCGTCTCCTCGCTTCATCTACCCTCACCACCCATCCTCCGCCCTGCAGGTCTGAGCCCATCCCTTCCCTTTCAATATCTTCCATGGCTCCCCAGTGCCCGAGGAACCAGCTCTAAACTCCTCATGCCCAGCCTGAGCCCTGTCCGTCTTCCTGAGCCCCCCACCCCATCACGGCTCCAGCCCCGAGTACTGCAGCCACAGGAGCCTCTCCAGCTGCAGACATTCTGTGCCTGTGCTCACGCTCTTTCTGTGCGTACAGCCTTTCCACTTCTCTGCCCATCAATTTCTGACCCATCTCCCGAGATCTGAAATGCCACCTCCTCCGTGTAGCTCACCCTGATTGGAACCAGTAAGTCCTTTCCCTGTGCCTTCATGTCAGTCATTTACCCTTTAATGTTACGAGCTGAGGAAGATCTCACGTGTAGGCAAAACACAGAGAGGTTCAGTGATTTTTCAGTCACACAGCTCCTGTGAGCCTCCTGTTAGTTCCATGCTTTTCTGAGACCCCAGACGCATTTCCCCCACATTTTCATCACTTAAAACAGCTTGAATGGTGTTGAATGGTGGTCCCCCGGTCCGGACTGCCTTTGTCCCAGAATGGTCAAATCTGTGAGCGAGATGGGGAATTGGGGGGAGGGGCTCTCTGCTCCGTCTTGGCTTATCAAACACCTGGCCTTCTTCCCGGAACTTTCTAAGTAAATAAAGATCGCTCTACGTGTGGGAATGGCTGTCGTCACTCTCTCTTCCTAAGAATCTGCTCTGAGTCAGGTGCTGTTCGGGGACAGTGGACTGAACGGAGCATTGGGCTACCTCAGGCCAGCTCCCAAACACTGCCCTTGACCTGCAGGTGTGCTCCCCGCAGACTGCAGTGGGAGCTACCGCGAGGCCCAGGACTCACGGAGAGCCACACCTGCTGGATTCCGCATCTCAGAGCATCACTTTCTTGCCTTAAAAAGTGAACTGTGATGACGGTGGTGATAGTGGCCGCCACTTGCCGCGCCCTGTAGTGCGCTAAGCGCTTTCTGCACCTCTCCCCATGCTCCCCGCTGCGAGGCGGGCAGGATCTCCACCCAGATGGAGGACCTGGACCCTGAGACGAGCACATCACAGGGTCATACGCCTGCACCAGGGGAACGGGACTCCTGACCGCCGTCCCTGCCGGGGACTCAGCTTGGAGGAAGCCCCAGTTCCCTTGTGAGGGTGGCGAGAGCAGCTCTGTCCTCTGGTCCCTGGTGGGACTCACACTCTGAGCTGCTGAAGCCACGCCTAACTGTCCCCTCAGCAAACCTGAAAACCACTTCCTGTCCCTCACTGCTCTTGGGAATGAACAGGACTTCTGCGTCCATAGTGGTCACAGCATTTAGGACGACACGTCGGCTGAGAGAACGGACGGCAAAGCCATAGCCGTCACCGGTTTAGTTTCTATCTTCCTAGGCTGTTGGATGAATCCTGGACCACAGTCTGGGTGAGGTGACATCTGACACCCATCACACTGGGCCATGGGTTTGGAGGGAATGGAGCTGGCTTCCTTCGATTATTCCAGAACTGCCAACGGCCAGGGCTGCTGAGCCCTGCCTGCTCTGAGCGTGTTTGTGGGTCTGCACAGGGTGTACCAAGGCCGTCCCGGCTGTGAGCACCTCTTGGAAGACTTGGAGGAGGGAGCAGATGTCCTGGGTTGGGGACACATTCATGACACACAGACCCTCAGGGGGACTTCGCGGGAGTTACTGAGGCCATCACGCTTGGAAGTCACTCGCTGCTGCGGTGCATCATGGGGTCCTCTTCCACTCAGTGAACATTTGCTGGGTGCCTACTGTGTGCGCCCCAGCACTGGGGATGCAGCCTCTGTCCTCAAAGCCTCTTCCTACTGTCGGTACCTTGCCCATCTATCGCCTCCTCTGCCACCTGTCACCCTTGCTGTGACGCTTCCAGTTGCCCCTAGCCCAGAACACCTGTGCCACCCACCCAACTGCCTGCCTCCAAGAAACATCAAATTTTTCACAAAATACTCATCACCATACCCACACCTCTCCATTTTGGGGTGGTGGTGGGGGGGAACCTTAATTCAGCCCTGCAGCCTGAGTCACAAGTGTTGTGGGGGGCTCGTGGCCCCAGAGAAACAGTGTCTGGGCCTTGAAGATACTGCCACCTGTTGGCCAGAACTCAAAGTGGCAGTGAGGACCAAATCTGTGTCTTGGCCTGGGATGGGACCTGGAACCTAGGAGTGACAAGCTGTGACCCGGCTCGTTGGAGATATCAGCCCCTAAACAGCTCGCCAGCCTCATCCGCCTCAGAAATCCTCCCTGGGATGGAAGGGCCGTCTAAGAATTGCCTTGAAATTCTGTTTTTAATCTATTTCACCACACTGGATGTCTACACGCTAGGGCGTCACCAGACACTGCAATTTTAAGGCAGACCTCCCCGCCCCGTCCAAACTTCTAGGAATGGTATGAGCAGGGCTGTGACATCTGCCAGCAGGCACTGCTGGGCACGGACTGAGAGAAACTGGCAGGAAAGCAAGGCTCACGGCAGGTACCGCAGCAGCTTCCCTCGAGACAGCTGAAGGGCCTTCCAGCTGGTCATCCACACCCACGACGCACGCGGACGTCTGGACAGGGCGCATCAAGGAGCCTTCCTCTGCGGGGCCTGTTCATTCATTCAGCAAAGATTTTCGGAGCGAGCGCCTTCTACCCACCAGAACCTGGTCCAGTCACAGGATGCTGAGGCACCCATGCAGGCAGAGCTGGGTACCTTCTGTGGCCTTGGTCCCAGACATGCCAAAAGGAAACAAGTACAGGGGACTTGGAAGCTGTCTCTGGCAAAGATAGACACTAGAGAAGCCACCTGGGGTCAGAGCAAAATGAATTTCCAGGGCCCAGACCGTGAGCTGCCAGAACTCCCTGGGGCGGCTAGGACCCAGCAAGGATGCAGGGAAGGGACACTTCAGAGCCTGATACACCCAAGGACCAAAAATGCAGGACCGAGAACCAGTGAGGGCGGGTGAGGCCCAGGGGAAAAAAAGCCCATGCTGCAACAGGCGGCTGCTCCTGGGCCACGTGCTCCATCCCTGGAGGCAAACGCAGCTCCTGTGGCCCAAGTGCCAGGAGCCTGCCCAGTGTGGACAGACACTTCCCTGGCCCGGGAGACCATTAGCTTAACTCCAGGTGTCAAGATAACTGGTCCTGCTCTGACTCCTTTGCTGTGAGCCTGGGCTGGTGCCCAATCACACCACCCTGGTCTCCCCGTGGGGCTAGGGGCAACACTGTAAGGCCCGAGGTCAGCAAGGGGCTCCCGGCCTGGGGAGGGGAGCCCTGCACATCTCCCCAAGCATCCATGCAGCCCTTGGCACCCGCAAAGTACAGCTCCGGGGTCTTGGCACTTGATGGCCTTGCTACTGTGTCTACGCAGGAGGTCACTGCCGACCACTCTGCTGTGCATCTTACCCTGAGGATTAGCGACCTCTATTTACCCAGATGGTGCCTAAGTGAGGCCCCCGCTCACCTGCAGTTACCATGGACATTTATCCACTTGGCGCCATGCACCCAGGTTTACGGCTCAGTCCCGAGGCGCCGGGCCTCACACCAGCCCTAAGTGCCCCTTCCTCAGCCCACGCTGCATGGGGACAGGGGGACGCTGAGGCCCCGTGCCTAACCCCCAGGTCCAATTGGGGACCAAAGGGTGGACCACCTAGGATGATGGCCTGACAGGGGGCACACTTGCTAGAGAGTGATCTTTACCTCCGCCTCACGAATGCAGAGGTCCATGAGAAAGGAAAATGGTACACAGCAGGTGGTGACAATGGCTATGACCTGTGCAGCTCCTGGCTATGACCTGTGCAGCTCCGACGAGGGCCTCTTCTGTAGCATCATCCTACGTATGCACTTGCTTAGGTCTTGTCACTTAACCTTTTTGAAATGTGCATTTCCTAAATTCACTCCCGTTAGAAATTGGTTTTATAATCAGCATGCACCTGGGTTCCAGCTTCTCACCGTTTCCTCTGCACCCTCGGCCGCCCCAGTGTCCTTGTATCCGTGACCCAGGGTGGCAGTCCCGTGTTCCTCCCACAGCTGGTCCTCAGGCCTCACTTCGTTCCCCCTCCCCCTCAGCGAGCTAGGCAGGAATCCTGCTGTCCGAAGACAGGTGTCTCTTGGGCCACCAGGCATGCACACCCCTCGGGGCCCAGCTGCTTAAGTCCCTCACGGGGGCGAGCCTTTGCCTTCACCAGAGGCACACCCCGCCCGCACCGAGGGCAGTTTATCAACGTCAGTCTCTGCCTTGCTCCTGCTCGGTCTCCCCCAACATCTGGAAACGCACGGCCACATCCCAGATGACAAGATGACCACGTGGATTTCCAGACAGCGTGAAGGTTCAGGAAGATGCGCTTGAAGGTCTCTGAAACCACAGCCTGGATCCATTCTGACGGCCGCTGCCCCCTAGGCCACGCCCACACCCCACAGGCCACCTGCTGCACCCTGGGTGGCTAAGACCCCTCCTCCCCTCATAGAGGGCAGGATACATCCTCGACCTGGAGGCCAACACTAGCTGAGGGTGGGGTGGGGGCACTGGTGGCCTCAGGGACAGAAAAGGGACAAGGCAGGAGTGGCCAGGAGTCGGAGGCCACTGTACTAACGGGTGGCTCAGACCTCTCCTAAGCAGAGGTGTGGTGCGCATGGCAGGGGGAGAAAGGGATCTGGGAAGAAAGGGTGCTTCCGGTCCCGCTGTCACCCCATCCCTTGCCCCTGAGCCCATTCTGCCACATGGAGAGCCTGTAGCAGGTCAACTCAAACCCACAGGTTGGAGCGTCCCCAAGAGCAAGCGTATTAGAGGGACCCTTCCATGACATGGACATTTCCAGAAGCTGCTCTGAAAGGTAAACAGTGTGCCGACAACAGCAGAGAACCCCAGACCCTTCCCGCTGCCCCCTCACCCCCCAGGAATGAGATACACTCCACTGGTCAGCACCCAGCTGTTGTAGTGTAGCTTGGTTTTATTTATGTCCACAAATATTTCCAAAAAATTACAAAATACTCAAATGGAGAGAACACAGAAGTCACGATTTCTGGGTGTCTACTGTTTACACTGTGTTATCTCATGGCAAACTACTCATATATACATTTAGCTTCAAGATATATATAAACGTAGCAGATCAGAACACACACTCCGCTCTGCTGCTGCAGCGAGGCGTGAAGCTCGGCCTTGACGACACTGAACAAGACACACACAAAACACGGGAAAGCAAAACCGAACTTCGAACAAAAGGAGGGACAATCCGAAAGGAAACCGAGGGGCTGGGCTCCGGAGACGCCTGAAGGTCGGGGGCCTCCCGAGCCGCAGCTGGCCAGGCGAGGGCTTCAGGTGGTGGGTTTAAGTGGAAGAAATCTCAGTGCTTCACCTTGGGATGTGGGGGAACCAAACTCTAACAGGAAAACACCTTCAGACAATTTTCCATACAGACTTCCAAGTCCTTCGTTCCCTCTCTTCTTTGGAAAAATGGATGACAGAGAGGAGATAAAGAAGGTTCAACTGAATGGCAGGCGTTGTGCTCTACCAGGAGGAAAAGAGAAGATGGGGGGAAGGTGCGGCGCCGGGGCAGGAGTCGGGGGGCAGCGGGCTGCGCAGCGCCAGCCGCCCGGAGTCCAGCATGCAGAGGCACGGGGCGCCCGGCAGGACGGGGGCGGCCCTGATGACATGTCACTGCCCCCAGAGGAGACAAATGCCCCCTGCCAATGCAGCCACGAGTGTGAGCTTGTCTCCCCTGTAAGGAGCTAAATTTAAGGCAGAAATGGAATGAAAAAAAAAAAAAAAAGAGAAGAAAAAAAACTACCAACATTTTCAACAGACCAAACAATCCTCTACTGTCCCAGCAGAACCCAAATCTGGTTTTAATAGCAATGGAAACGGGCCCAATGCAGGTTCGGAGCCAGCACCCGAATCTGAGCTCACAGTCACTGGCTTCTGGGTTAAAG